AAAATAAATAAATAAATAAATAAATAAAATTTTTAAAAAAGACAAATGTAAATAAATAGAGTGCTGGCACAAATGACAGAACAAATACTTTCTATTTTGGCAAACTAAAGTTCCACACAGGAAACATTAAGCTGTATGGTTTTGAGTAATCTGAGTTAACCAGACAAATGGGAAGTGGAAAAGGTATTACAGTCACAGAAGTACAAAACAACAGTGTCTGTTGGGAAATTATCAGTATTTAGATAGGTCTGGAGCTTAGGGACTACCAGGGATCGGGTCTGAGAAGTTAAATCAACATCACAAACTCTCATGCTAAGGAAAATTTTAAATTACATTATTTCAGTAGAGATAATGTCATCAGTATACATCTAATATACAGACCTACACAACAGAAATATTTTTTTGGGTGGGGGGTCTAATTTATTTATTTTTTATTATGTTATGTTATCGCCATACATTACATCATTAGTTTTTGATGTAGTGTTCCATGATTCATTGTTGCGTATAACACCCAGTGCTCCATGCAGTACATGCCCTCTTTAATACCCATCACCAGGCTAACCCTATTACCCAGCACTTGAACACTTTTAAGATTTATTTATTTATTTGAGCTGGAGGTGGGGGGAGCGCGCCTATGCACAAAGTGGTGGAGGGGGAGAGAGAATCCCAAGCAGACTCACCAATGTGCACAGAGGACGACCTGGGTCTTGATCCCAGGACCCTGAGACCCCCACCAGAGCTGAAATAAAGAGTTTGACGCTCAACCGATTGAGCCACCCAGGTGCCCCTGAACACTTTTGTTTTAAACATATGCTTCCTCCTCTACACTTCTGACCAGCTTGAGAGCCAACACCATTCACACATAGCTTGTCTGAGCCTTAATTTCTACAACTTAAATGGTATATAATCTTTTACATAGCAAGCACTAAATGACCAAGTAGGAGTGTATTAGGCAAAAGAAAACATTTCACTGGTTCTCAAAGCAGTTAGTAATGTCATAAGATTTACTTACACAAACACTACTTGTGAGTTTGCTACATACATTGATAAGGAAAGTGGCTGTCAATATATTAAAAGAAAAATAACAGATTAGGGGTGCCTGGGTGGCTCAGTCAGTTAAACATCTGCCTCTTGATTTTGGCTCAGGTCATGATCTTAGGATCATGAGATCAAGCCCTGCATCAGGCTCCACATTCAGCACAGAGTCTACTTGAGATTCTCTCTCCCCCTCTCCCTCTAATAAATAATTTTTTTTTTTTTTAAGATTTATTCATTTGAGAGAGAGAGCAAGAGAGCACAAGCAAGGGGAGCAGCAGAGGGAGAGGGAGAAGCAGACTCCCCACTGTGCAGGGAGACCCACATGGGGCTCGATTCCAGGGCCCTGGGATCATGACCTGAGCCGAAGGCGGACGCTTAACCATCTGAGCCACCCAGGCACCCCTCTAATAAATAAATCTTAAAAAAAAAAAAAAAAGGCAGATTAAAGAGCAGTATGTATAATGCAATCCACTAATGTCTATTATAAGCATATATAGAATTTTAAAACCCTACTGGGTTTTTTTTTTTTTTTTTTAAAGATTTGAGAGAGAGAGTGCATGAGCAGGAATGGGGGGACAGAGGGAGGTGGGCCTCGATCCCAGGACCCTGAGATCATGGCCTGAGCCGGAGGCAGACACTTAACGAGCCACCCAGGCACCTGGGATATTCATTTAACAACAAAAAAGATTTGGAGACTATACCAAGAATTTTGGAGCCACACCATCTGGGTTCCAGTCAGCTTCTAAACACTAACTAACTCTGCGACCTCATGCAAATATTTTAATCTTTCTGTGCCTCTAATTCCATAAAAGGAGGATAGTAATATCCCCATAAAGTGGGGATAATAAGATACCTCACTGGCTTATTGTGAGGATTAAATAAGTTATAAATGCTGTAAGTTACATGCTTAAGTTATAATGCTGTAAGTTATAAATAAGCATTCAGAACAGCATCTGGCATACAGCAAATGTCATGTATCAAGTGTTTCCTAGTTATATTTTATCTTTCTTATCAAAATTAAAGTTCTTATCATCACAGACTTTTATCTATACCATTGATCCTAGAAGAACTGGTTTAGGAAAAGGCCTCCTATTTGTCTCATAAGGATTTTTAACACCTTTGTACTCATTTATTCAACAAATATTCATCAAGCATTTCCATATGTCAAGTTTTGTGTTAATAATGTCTTTTATTAAGTGTCTTCCTAGGTCATTATACCGTAGAAACCTGGGCATCTCCTCTGTTTCATAAAAAACAAAGACCGTATATTCAGATCTACACAATTCCTATTCCTCATCTGGATCTGCATAACTTCTTCTATCTTTAGCAAATTGATCCACATAACTTTTTAGATGTTTCATAAAGTCTTCTACTTTTTTAGTAGTCTTCTACTTTTTTAGTAAAAAAATTTTGGAAAATCACGTACTTAAAAAGTACCTAAGTTTATAGGCTCTAACACTATACTACTTATAAAAGTTTTAACAAAAATGTAGAAAATATGGTAGCTAAAAAAAACAAGTATTTATCAACATAGCAAATACTTGTATACAAACTTTCTTGTTCAGAAAGACTTTGAGTCTTATCAGTGGGATATTTTGAGTACATCAGAAAACAAAATGTGGAAATCACATCATACAGAATTAGTTGTTTTAACGGTACTCATAAAAATGAAATGATACCAGTCATGACAGAAAATCATAGTGGAAAATTTAAATGAAATTACTTTTGACTGAATAAAAACAGATTTAGACTTACTACATAAAATAGATCTTTCACTATTTTGGTATAAGGTGTTATATGAATCACAAGAATGTACATTAAGTTTTTGTTTTTAAGATTCTTTTTTTTTTAAGTAATCTCTACACCCAACTTGGGGCTTGAACTTACAAGAGTCACATGCTCCATCGACAGAGCCAGTCAAGGTGCCCCGAGCAAATCATTAAGTTTTAAATAAGCATATTTATATGCCATGTACTCTATTAACTTAGTACCACAAAGAATAATTAAACTTGGGTTCTATTTTCTCATTCTTTCACCACTCTGAAATATCTTAGATAGGACTCCCATTATTCCTCATCCGTAAAATGGATAAAGAAAATCTTCTGTTTAAAAACAGTAAAGTTCCAGGGCACCCAGGTGGCTCAGCTGGTTAGCGTCTGCCTTCGGCTCAGGTCATGATCCCAGAGTCCTGGGATCAAGCCCCAAGTCAGGCTCCCTGCTCAGCGGGGAGCCTGCTTCTCCCTCTCCTCCCTACTCATGCTCTCCATCACTATTTCTCTCTCTCAAATAAATAAATAAAATCTTTAAAAATAAATAAATAAAAACAGTAAAGTTCCTAAACATTTCATAAAGTATATGGGAAAATGTCAAAATTTGAAAGTGTGTAAACTGTGATTATCAAGCAAGAAAATTTATTCATTTGCATCTAAAAGAATCTCACATGACATTTCAAGAGAATTATAATCCTCAATATTAATTAATTACCTGAATAATCAAATATTTTAATGATTGGATTTTTTCACTCACCTCTGAAAATGGTGGCTATACAGCTGTGTTGGAATACCAAGAATACGATCATATATAGCTGTAACTTCTCTCAGGTTTCCCTGTTCATTTTCCCAGTTTATATACATTTCCCACAGTCTGTCAGATCGGAAATCTGTTCCTGCAGCTAGAACCGCATGCTCGAAAGTTCTGAAAAATTAAATTACCTCTAAGTTATCTTTCCAAGATAAAATCACTTTTAAAATATTATTTCTGCACCTTCCAATATATACAAATATCAAATCATTAAGTTGTACAACTGAATTTATGTCAATTATACAATTTTTTTAAAAAAATTAAAAATAAAACCTTTCTAAATTTCAGAAGATTGTACTAAATTCAAAATTACATTCAACTGCTTCCTATACAAGTAGGGAGTAAAAAGCAGAAGAAATAGAAAAGTGTACAACAGCTACATTTTAAAGAGTAAGGAAACAAAGGGAATATGTGTACTTCTATGTAATTTTATCTTATACAGAATTACAACGCAAAAATGTACACATTACAAACATATAAAGAGTGACAATGCAGACACTTAAATATTTGTGATGTGAAATGTTTGTCAAATAGATTCATTTATAGCAGAAAACAGACAAATTTTATCTCAATTTAAGGAGTAATTTTCTGGCAAAATAATTCTCCAAGAAGGGACCCAACTGCCTTGGTAAGGTAATGAGAAGTATACATATGTTTTAAAACTTTCAGAAGTCTCTCCTGATTCTAAAATTACAGATTACTAAAAAACAAAAACAAAACACCACCACCTTGTGTTTTTAAACTACCTAACTCATTTCAAGAGATTTTTGTAAGCAATTTTAATCATTGGATTTGATATCCCAATGGAATAAAACTTTTAGATACATATTTTCAAAATATTATCTTACAATCCAGAGGGATTTTTAACAGTATAAAACTATACTACCTGTATTAATCTACAACCTTAATACAATTCCAATCAAAGCTCCAACAAATTTTGAGTGGAACAGGTAAAACAAATTCTAACATACAGCTAACATGCAAAAAGAACAATGCAGAGGGCATTTTCCTGAAAGATATCAAAAGAAATTAGGAAGCTAGGGCGCCTGGGTGGCTCAGTCATTGGGCGTTTGCCTTCGGCTCAGGTCATGATCCCAGGGTCCTGGGATCGAGCCCCGCATCGGGCTCCCTGCTCCATGGGAAGCCTGCTTCTCCCTCTGCTGCTCGCCCTGCTTGTGTTCCCTCTCTCCCTGCCTCTCTCTGTAAAATAAATAAAAATCTTAAAAAAAAAAAAATGTGCTAAAACTGGAGGATGTTAATATACGCATAAAGGATTAAGAGTATGTGTTTATGCACGTGTGCGCACAAGTGTATGTTTGTGTCTGAGGTTTTCAAGACAGTAAAATGCATGTTACTACCCCTGCAGAATCCCAAAATGATTCAAGAAATTAACGCACCAGACACTAAGAAAAGTGGAGGGAGTTGGGAGAGGAAATATGGTAAGAAGGTAATGAACTAAAGACAGGATGTTTACAAGAAGATCGCCTTAAAGAATGGTAAGATACCTTAAACCTCCTTTCCTGCCCAGCTATGGGATTTCAGGAGCTAGGTATACATTCCCCAGGCAGATCAGATGATCCTTCAATGAGAAACTGCCTGGCACAATAGTAAAATATAAGGATACCAACACTGGGATTCCCCCAACAAAAACCTGAGTGGCCATTTGATCGCCCTACTGTGAAGCCCACCAAGCCAGCTAATAATACCTGCATATAAAGCACACAGAGCTTACATTCAGTTTATTAAAATCTAATCTTTTGGGGTGCCTGGGTGGCTCAGTCGTTAAGCGTCTGCCTTCGGCTCAGGTCATGATCTCAGGGTCCCGGGATTGAGCCCCACATCGGGCTCCCTGCTCGGCTGGGAGCCTGCTTCTCCCTCTCCCACTCCCCCTGCTTGTGTCCCCTCTCTTGCTGTGTCTCTGTCAAATAAATAAATAAAATCTTTAAAAAAAAAACTCATCTTTTTTTAAAAGATATTATTTATTTGAGAAAGAGTGTGTGCATGGGGCGGGGGTGGGCGGGAGAGAAGCAGGCTCCCCACTGAGCAGGACTCCCCATGGGGCTCAATCCCAGGACCCTGGGATCATGACCTGAGCTGAAGGCAGATGCTTAACTGACTGAGCCACCCAGGTGCCCCTAAAATCTATCTTTAACATGAGCAGAAATCCAGAAATCAGACAAGTCAGAGATGAAAACAAATGAACAAAAACATGGGGCGCCTGGGTGGCTCAGTCGGTTAAACGTCTGCCTTTGGCTCAGGTCATGATCCCAGACTCCTGGGATAGAGCCTTGCATTGGGCTCCATGCTCAGCAGGGAGCCTTCTTCTCCCTCTCCCTCTGCCTGCCTTGCCTGTCTGCCTACTTGTGATCTTGGTCAAATAAATAAATCTTTAAAAAAAAAAAAAAAAGAAGAGTAAACAAAAACACTTCAGAGAAAACCGTGATGGGAGCAGAGGATAACTTTAACAGTCCTTAGTACTTTTTAAAAAGTAATAAAAAGGGGCGCCTGGGTGGCTCAGTCGTTGAGCGTCTGCCTTTGGCTCAGGTCATGATCCCAGCGTCCTGGGATCGAGCCCTGCATCGGGCTCCCTGCTCAGTGGAGAGCCTGCTTCTCCTCTCCCACTCCCCCAGCCTGTGTTCCCTCTCTCGCTGTGTCTCTCTCTGTCAAATAAATAAAATCTTTAAAAAAAAAAAGTAATAAAAAGATATTAAGCCATGTAACAAAGAATAGGAAGAGATAAGAAAAGGAACAATAAAAAAAAAAGATTCTTGGACATTAAAAAAATGATGGCAGATAGGAAAAATCCAATACAAGGGTCAAGGAAATACCTCAAAAAGCCCAACAAAATCTGACATGTAAAAAGTAAAAACAAAAATAAGAAAATTAAATGATTAAAACATAAGATCCAATGTCCAACTATTAAAAACAATAGAGAAAACCATAGGAAGGGAATTATCAACCTAAGAATATACACAATAACATGTTTTTTTTAATTTTATTATTTTTTTAAGCAAACTCTATGCCCACATGGAGCTCAACTCATGACCCCAAGATCAAGAGCTGAATGCTATACTGACTGAGCCAGCCAGGTATCCCAATAATAACATTTCTCAGAAGAGAAAGACATGAGCACCCTAGATTGAAAAGGCCCACTAAGTAAACACAATAAATTAGAAAAAGAAAACCCACATCAAAGCATATCATTATAAAACTGCATTTATAGCAAAGATAAAGAGAACATTTTAAAAGCATCCATGAGGAAAAACAAATCATACAAAGGGAATCCAGAGAGTTACCATACTTCTCAATAACACCACCAGAAGCTGTAAGAGTGAAGAGATGCCTTCAAAGCCCTAAGGAAAAATTACTTCCAACTCATAATTCTATACCCCACTGATCAACTGGGTGTTTCAGACTTACAAACTCTTCATTTTTTTTCATCCCAAGCATCCTTTATCAAGAAGTTATAGGACGCACTCTTCTATAAAGGTAGGCATCAGCCAAGAAAAAACAGGATCTAAAAAACTCTCAAAATTAGAGCTTGAAACCCAGGAAAGAGGTAAAGGTATCTCCTAGAATCATGATGAGGAAATCTCAAAATAACTGCTGTATGGCAGAAACAGAACAGAGCAGAGCAACCAATCCAGACTACAGAAAGAGAAGGTTCCAAGGATATCCCCCAAGAGGAAGGGTAAAAAATGGAATTTACAAATTTCAGAGTACAATTCCCTTTCACAAATTTCAGAGTAAGTAAAATAACACTAGATATATACATTTTTTAGCTTCCAAAAAATGTACATAGCATTTGTACACTGTGGAAAGTCAGTTATGAGTACTAACTACCGAAAGCAGCTGTTGGAAGGGGTAGGAAATTTTAAATGTTCAAAGAAAACTAAGCAAGTGGGAAAAAGGAGGTAAGGATAAAAAGGGGTAATTAACTCCAGGAAAAATAAAAGGCTTTGAAACCTATCTATGTGGGAAAAGATATGGGAAGACAGAGTATAAGTGAACTAAAAATCTCATCTACCATAACAAAATCATAATGTAATGAAGAGAGAGAAAGAGCTACTATTATAAACATATAGGAAAATACAAGAAACAGCTAAAATACTTGAAGAGGGACTGCTTTTTGTTATAAGCAGTTTAACACTGACTTTTTAAACTATATGCACACACTTTGATAAAAATAAAAACCAAAACACATTTAAAATTTCCTATAATCAATAAGAAAAGGACAATCCAGAAGTAAAATGAGCAAATGATATGAACAGGCAATGAGCAAATGGCTTATACAAGTACACGAAAAGACGGCAAACTGGGATGAGCAGCCTAGAGATAGGCAACCTAAAATTGCCTGAGTTATCACTGGAGGTTAAAGAGAATGTGGCACAGCTATGGGAAAATATGACTACTCTCATATACTGTGGGAGTTTAAAATTGATACCACTTTTGAAAGAACATTTGATAAAAGTTGTGTGTTCTTTGACAAAAGTTCCATTTCTAGCATGCTCTACATAAATAATGACTAATACAAACATGTTTCTTGCGCCACTGATTATTTCCTATAAATAAGGATTTGGGCAAATAAAATACAGTACTTTGATACCACAAAATACTTCTGCAATGCCTGAAAAATTACGATAGGGAGAGATTCCAAAACATTGTTACATTAAAAAAAAGAATCAAGTATGTACAACACACACACGTATGCACATCCGTATGTATATGAAAGAACACACAATTCATAAACCACAAAGGGAATGGGATTGGGAACATAAGTAATGGGGTGTGAAATGAGGGCATTATCATCTGTAATTTTTATAATCATGCATAAGTTTATTACATGTTTCATTTTTTTAAATAGTGAAAAAGAAATGTATGTTAAACATTCAGTTTAGCATTCATGAGTAGTTCTATTATCAACATCAGAATACTTATTTCTACTTCGAAGGCATTTGAAAATATCAATGTTTAGCATACCCTCTTATTGTACTATTTGTCTCAGATTCACCAGGGTCCAATGTTTCTTTTAAGAAGTTTATATAATGTATCCATAGGTCAACACTAAGAGGTATTGCCTGAAGCCCCCGACGATACACCTAAGAAGAAAACAACAAACTGTACTTCAAATATTTAATTATTTCTTAACAGAGAGGCAACACTGTGTTATCCGGTGAACCTTAGAAATACTAATTACTGGAATTTTGTTTAAATAATCTACCATTACCATTTGGGTGGAGGTTGGATAGAACATGGCAATGTTCTGATCCCCACGTGCAGAGTCTTGATCTTCAAAGCGCAGCAGTCCCTGCATTCTGACCGGGTTGTGTGGGCAGGCTTTGGGTTACAGACCATAGGGCACAGACCCATTAGAGCATCAATGACAGCGTCTGACCAAAAATGCAATAAGACGTAGCAAATGTGACTAGCAAACCAACTATATTGTTTGGAAAATGAGAAATAAATGTAAGTGAGAGAAAAGCCCTGCCCTACTTGTTAAGCTGCAGTGTAATACAGAGGCTTGCACTGCAAAGCTTGACAAACTGTAGAGGTTTAACGCACCTGCCAACAAAGAGAGAAAATATTAGCTACAAATGCCACAAGAGTGACAAATGCAAATAAAATACCCTATAAAATTGTTTGACCATAAATCGTAGGTACTGCCAGCCAAAAAAAAAAAAAAAAAAGTTTTTGTTTCGTTATTATTTGGCTTACAGTACCTAATGGAGATAATTTTATTCAGTAATGTACGCACCTCATCTGATTGTTTAATGTTGTCATGCCGCTTTTCAAGGTCTGCATACTTTTTCCAGTAACCATAGCAATACGGATAGTGTATGAAAAATTTGTCAAATGCTTTCCTGGCAGCCATCAAGTGATTCTGATGAAAATAAAACAAGGTGTTTAAAAATCCTGGAAGTTTGTGTCACAAAAATAGTTATTATTTCTTCCAAATGTATTATCTCAAATAAAATAAACTGGCAGATTTAAAAACCACACACACACAGATCTTTTTCCTGCATATTACAGTCTTATCCTTTGAAACAAAAGGAAGTAATTCTGTCAAATAGCAAGGTAACTTTTTATTTCAGTGATTATACACACACGTATGCACACACACCAATTACTACAAATATTAGACTTTGTACTAATATTGACAAATACATACAAATGTTATTAAAGTTATTTTTAAAGCTAAAAAATGTACATATCTAATGTTATTCAACTTAATCTGAAAATTATAAAAGAGGCAATTTTAATTACAAAACAGTAAACCTCATCTGATATTACTTGATTAATCTGTCCCTTCTAGTCCCATTTAAATAGTTACTAACCTCCTGTTCTACATACTGAAGCAAATATACCCAGCCTGTAAAATCCTGAGGATTGTTTTCTACAGTTTTCCAGAATTTTTCATATTCTGGAGGGAAATTTGCTTCCGTTTCTGTCACTGGAAGGTCCACAGCATTTGTTATTTCATTTTCTTCTGTAGTTGCATTCACATTAGGAGATCCATCAGGGGACTGTTCCATTTCCGTAACATTCATAATCTCAGTACTGAAATCAGCAGACTGTTCTACCACTACCTCTGAACTGTTGCCTGTGCTGCCATTACTAGAATTTCTGTACTCATCCATGTGAGAATTTTGCATAGTTGTTTATTTCGTCTTCAGTTAATGATCTGTGGAAACACAAATAAAGAGGAACATCTTCCAAATGTTTATTTGGCATCATCAAAACCACCTTTTAAAAGCCCCAGTTAGCTATTAAAGGAATATATTAATTTCATTCTTGATCTCTGAACAATGGAACCACTTAATCAAAGAATACATGTATGTTAAATCTGGGAAAATGTTGAAATTTTATCTCCAGAAAAATTGCATTAGCCACGTAGCAAGACACTTTCAGTTGCCTATCCAGTATCCCCTCTTACCATCTTCCTAGTGAAACAATGTTTTTGGTCAGAGTAGCAATATATCTAGCCCCATGTAGGGAATCATGGAACTGCTACAGAGCTCTGGGAAAGATTTTGCTTTTCTGAGAAAAAGGGACAGTCACAAATAGTGTAGGTTCCACCACTTTCTTATCACCTTGAATGTGAACATATCTAAAACAACCTATGTCCTTAAAGCAGCCAATAAGGGATGGGCAAGGAAAATTAAGAAATGCCAGCACTGACGTCATCAGCTACTAATAACACAATGCCAACTTCACACTGTGTGCAAAAATAAATCCCTATTTGTTTAAACTTATTAGCAATAGACAGGTTTTCTATTACTTGCAGACAAATGAAGTCCTAACTGATTAACCCACTAACAATGCATGGAAATGGCCATTTCTCCATCTCCTCCTATCAGCACTAAATATCATAAAACCTAATTTTTGTTTATTTGATTAAAAAAGAAAAAGCAATACCTCATTGTGATTTGCATTTCTTTAACTATGAGAAAGCTGGATTTCTATTTTTTTCTTAAATGCCTTCACATCCTTATTACATTACTAATTTTTATTCTTATTGGTTTGTACAAGATCTTTGTAAACTAAGGAGATAAGATCTTTATAATATACATTATAAAACATTTTTTGTGAGTTTTTCTTACTAGTTTTTTTGTGTATATAGAGGATATCTTGTAAATTGTCAAGCAGATATGAAATCCAAATTTTAAAACATGTTTAAAACATTATTTCAAAATATAGTATGAAGCAAATTTTATGCCAACAAAGGAGAAATTTAACATGTTAAGTCAGGAGACCTTCTGAGGTTGAATGCCACTGGAAGAATTAACTATAACCAAATAAATCTAAGGAATGTTAAAAAAGAAGTGGGGATGGACGCCTGGGTGGCTCAGTCGGTTGAGCATCCAACTCTTGGTTTTGGCTCAGGTCATGATCTCACGATCCTGGGATCAAGCCCTGCTGGGGCTCTGTGCTCAGGGAAGTCGGCTTGAGGATTTTCTCTCCTCCCCCTCCCCCCACTTATGCATGTGCATGCACTCTCTCTCTCAAATAAATCTTAAAAAAAAAGTGGTGGGGGAGAAGAGGAGAAGAGAAAAATAAGGGAAGGGAGTAGTTCGAGTGGAGACAAAAAGTTAATGCCTAATGTATGTCTAGTCTATGTTACATTCCTGGTAATATTTAAGTACAAGATAAAGTCATTACTCTAGGACTTATTAATTCATTGGAGAGAGATCAAAAACAGACAAAACAGAGAGAGAATTTTAAATGAAACAAAGTCAAAGTTTAGAGAAATCAACTGAAAATTATGGCCATCTAGAAGAGCTTCATGAAATACAAAACTGGGTCTTAACTTTGAAAAACTGTAAGTTTTAGAACAATAGAAAAAGAATTATTATTCCAGAATAGAGAAAAGCCCACTCGACTTGATAGAAAAATCCTTCTTGACAGTAGACAACAAACAAGTAGAAATTAGAACTAATTCGAAGAAGAGAGAGACCCAACCAGAATGAACAGCTTTTACATTGAGGAAGAGGAAGGGTAAGCAGCAGAGAAGGCAGGGTATAGCCAGAGGAATTTGAGAGGAAATGATAGAAGTAAATCTACAGAGGCATCTGATAAGAGATAATACAAGAAGCAAACCTAGTTGGTACACAGTAAAAGAGAATCCAAAGTAATAGACTCTCAGAAAAAAATGTCCTTCCCATTAGCTTTTCCAGGTTTGAGCCATTTGAGGCCCTAGAAAAAGGCAAAGAAGTTCTCAATTTATTTTCTCTTTTTCCCCTTCCTTTAAAGAAAAGACACATTTGAAGATCAATTTTCCATATGCAAATCAGTCATTGGTTTGTGTCTTTTGATTTCAAAGCCACTGTCAAACAAACAAACAAAATGTTGGTTGATACATTCTGAGTCATTACCACCAGCCCTATTCTAATTGCATATTTAAGTGGAACATAATGGTCTCTCCTGCAATCAGCAAATTTACCACACGCTTGCATCTTCAGAGATTATCAATTACTCCACACCCTGCAATCAAAATGCTGTAAAAAGAACTAAGAACATCATCCTTACCCTTAGGGAGATCATTTTTCTGATAACTCCAAAAATCACAGAGCCAAAAGAAGAATACACTAAAGTTATTTTTTTAATAAGTTATTCCAACATATTCTTCATAATGTGGCAGTTAACTAGTCCCACTTTATTCTTGACAACAATCAATAACTTCCAATTATCAACATAAAACAGCAAAGGGGCAAAAAATATCAAAAGGAAGGAGACAACTGTGGTTTTAGCATAAAGACAACCAAACCAACAGAACAAAGAGCCCAGAAATAAACTTTTGCATATATAATTAAATGATTTTCAACAAGGATACCAAGATCATTCAACAAAGAAAGGGCAGTCAGTTTAACAAAAGGTGCTGGAAAACTGGATATTCACATGCAAAAGAATGAAGTTGGAGCTTTACCTTATACCACATACAAAAATTAACTCAAAATGAATTCAAAGCCTGAATGTAAAACCTAAAACTATAAAATTTCTAGAAGAAAACATACGGGAAATCTTCATGATACTGGACTTGGCAATGATTTCCTGGAAATGACACCAAAAACAAAGGGAACAAAAGTAAAAACAGACAAATGGGCTATCTCGAAGTTTAAAACTTTTGTGCATCAGGGGCGCCTGGGTGGCTCAGTCGTTAAACATCTGCCTTCGGCTTGGGTCGTGATCCCAGGGTCCTGGGATCGAGCCCCTCACTGGGCTCCCTGATCAGCGGGAAGCCTGCTTCTTCCTCTCCAACTCCCCCTGCTTGTATTCCAACTCTCACTATCTCTCTGTCAAATAAATAAAATCTTTTAAAATAAAAATAAAATAACTGAGGAAAAGACAAAAGAATTTTTTTTTAAGATTTTATTTATTTATTTATTTAACAGAGAGATAGAGCACAAGTAGGCAGAGTGGCAGGCAGAGGGAGAAGCAGGCTCTCTGCTGAGCAGGGAGCCAGACGTGGGGCTCGATCCCAGGACCCCAGGATCATGACCTGAGCTGAAGGTAGCCACTTAACCGACTGAGCCACCCAGGTGTCCTGACAGAAGAATTTTTGCAGAAGTTTTAAAAGGAGGAAAAAAGCTGTTGACCTTGACTCCATAAAACCAGCAGACAACAGAGTTTATCTGGAGGTCTATCTTATTTCTTGATTTTTCAATTTTAGACATTTTTTGCTCTTACTAGATTCCTGATCTCAGGGTGGTGAGTTTGAGCCCTATGTTAAGCATTCAGATTACTTAAAAAAAAAAAAAAAAAGGTTTTGAAGGAATCTTTTCATTGTTTCCTAGCACAGGGTGTTGCTTTTTTTTTTTTTTTGAAGATCTATTCATTTGAGAGAGAGCTTGCGCACTAGCACAGAGGGGAGGGGCTGAAGGAGAGGGAGGGAGGGAAGAAGAGAGAGTCCCAAGCCAACTTTACCCTGAACGCAGAGCCCAACACAGGGCTCAATCCCACAACCCCAAGATCACAACCTGAGTTGAAACCAAGAGTTGGACGCTTAACCGACTGTGTCACCCAGGCGCCCCTAGGGTGTTGCTATTGAGAAAACTCCTCTATTTGAGACCTGTTTTTCTCCATGGTAGCTTTTAATCCAGGTGTTCTGAAATTCCAAAATGATGAGCCTTAGGGTAAGTCTTTTCTACTCATTCTGCTGGCATTCATTCAGAAGGCCTATTTTACTCTAGATATTTACATCATTCAATTCTTATATTCCATATTTATCATTTATGTAATAATTTTCTTCCCTTGGTTTTCTATCTTATCTTTGTTGAACTCACATTACTCAGTTGTTGGACCTCCTGGACTGATCCTCTACTTTTCTTACCCTATGACTCATTCTACTCTGAGTGATCACTTTTACTAGATTTTTAATATATGAATCAAAATTTTAATTCCCTTTTTTTACTCTGAATAATCCATTTTACAGTCTCCTATTCCTGTTTCACTGGTGCAGTATCTCCTATGTCTCTATAAATCACTTTAAATTTTCTTCTGTTCTCAGCACTGTCTCTTCTGAGTATTTTTTGACTATTTGTTTTGGTCTCTCAAGTAGAGTGATCTTCAAACTGCTGTTCAAGAAGTGTGAGGCATCACACAAAATCAGAAGCTACATAAAGCTTGAACACTGTGAACCTCAGTGCAGGATGGCATTCTATTGAGGGGGAACTCACTAAATGTCAGGGCTTTACATCATTTCCCTGGTGTTAAGTTTTCCCAAAGAAGAATGTTTCAACCTAAAAATATATACAGAAGGCAGTAAGCATTCTGGGACAAAGAAGAAAAACAGGGCTAGTGATCTCACCATTCAGTATGTACACTTTCATTCAATTTTCCATTTTCATCAAGACCCTTCACCCCTGTCCCAACTCCCATCAGCTGTGTCAAAACTTCTCTTGTTCCACCCTTTTCAAATAATAAACATCTAGTTTTTTGCCAGTTATATTATATGGAGAAGGAAAATGGAGGGTCTAATCTACTCCAGACTTCCAACCAATTCTAGAATTTTTAGCTCCACTCAGCATTCTCACTTTCAGAGGCACGTGGTAACCAATATTCCTGAGCCTTTCTGGAGTTTTGTGGGACAACTCCTCATATTTCTTATTAACTTCCCTCTCTGCAGGCAAAGAACTGAATGCAGAAAAATGAAAACCTAAGTTCATCAGTTAAATCCAGTCCATC